CTGCGGTTGAGACAAGACGTGGCCTAAGAGCCCCCAGTACTACAACTCGTCTAGAGGGTTATCTCAGGCAGGGAGCCCTGGCTACAAGTCAGTTCAACCTATGGGGTACCGTTTCGTGAGAAACTTTGGGGTGGGACTGACTTGTATGGCCCCCAATGAGGGCAAGAGAACGGAAACCGTTAGTAATTCGGGTGGCTTTGAACCGACTTCCAGTGAAATTTGGGTTAGCTTAAAAACCGTCCCATTGTCAAAGTACGTGTTTTCCCACTTCTGGCTTATTAACCATCATCAGCCAGTCATACCCAACCCCGAAGTGTGAAACACCGGAGGCTCGAACTCGCGACCTGTTAGTTAGAAGTCCACGCCTCTAACCATTGGGCCACGGGCCCGTGTGACTGGCTGACGACGGCTAATAAGCCAGAAATGGCCATTCCAGTCTCCCTTGTCTTTGTCGGTAATGCCATTCTACCTGTTAAAAAGTAGATTTAAATTTAACGGTAAGGCATGTCAGGATTCGATTTAAGGTTAAGGTAAGGAGCCAGTGATAGATGCAGAGTTAAGGTTTGTGGTAGGATTGGGACTAAGACTAGGGCAGTAGCTTAACTTTATATTAAGGCTATCGTTGGGGTTTGGATACGGGAATATTTTTTCTTTCCAGAATTATGAGCGAGTCCAGCATTATAACATGGGCGGGGCGTTCCTATTCCCACGTTTTGTTTAGGGGACCACATAAGTCAATCCCACCAAATTTGATTATGCGCACTTCCCTTCTTCATCGCCCGGTTATCCCTCCACTGTTCATGCTCTCGGTTTCCTTTCCTCCTAGAAAAAATAGTCATTTTGTAATTCGACGCCTCTAGTGAATCAAGACCCCCTACTTAGAAACCACCGTCTCGTGGAAGAACTCAAACTCACGCACTGTGATGGGCAAAACAACCCTTCGTTCGTTAGGCCACAGGACCACAGGCATTCCTTCCTTACTCTTATCTGACCGGTAACCCTCCCCCCTCTCGATGCGGTCTTCGAGTAGACTTCCGGCCTTCCTTCCCCCCATCACATACAGTAAGTGGCCTATCTCATGAAATGTTGACCGAAATTCCAAAATGCGTTTCTGATTATGAAGGATTACTTAAGTGGGGTTCTCATACATATTATCTTGCGGCATAATACTTTAATATATCGGACTCAGCAGAATGTCTGCTCTGATTGCACTCCTCTTAGACCTCCTATGGAAACCTCACCGGGTGAAAAATGGCTACTTAAGTAGCATGCATTTTTCACATTGATTTTCGGTGCTCTTATGAATTCAAATATATTTTATAAAAAAACATGAACAAAAATATTCTTTCTTTTACTCGTCTGATAGAAAATTACACCATCTTCCTATTTTATACTCGAGGACAGAGTATATTTAGGTTTTGAAAAAGTTTTTTAATTCCTGAATAATTTTGAGCCTGATTAGCCGTTGCATTAGCGTTTAGTGATTTCAGTCTACAAGGTGCATGCGTTCCGTTTAAGGAAAATCCTATATTCTTCTATATAGATTCGATACAATTTTGCAATGGATGCGGACTATGTTGCACATTTCATGAGGAGCAGTGACAAAAGCAGAGCTACGATGCTGTATGAATGGACATTGCACGGTCTTAAGAAATCTCCCAACTGGAAACTTTTTTAAAACCGAATTATACTCCTTCTTCGAGCATAAAATATAAAGAAGACGTAATTCTCTATCCAACAACTGAAAGAAAGCATATTTTTGTTCGTGCTTTCTCTAAAATATATTTGAATTTGCAAGGCCATCGAAAATCAATGTGAAAATGCATGCTACTTAAGTAGTCATTTTTTACCAAGTGCGGTTTCTACAGGAAGTTGAAAAGAAGTATATCCAAAAAGCAGACATCTTGGCGAGTCCGAAATACTACAGGATTATGCCACACGATAATATGTATTAGAGCCCCACCTAAGTAATCCGTCTTAATCGGAAACGCATTTTGGAATTTCGGCTAACATTTCATGAGATCGGTCACTCACTGTAGGACTAATGCTGTTTTTGTTACCCCGCGCAGAAGGACAGCGACCTGGAATGTGCTTCCGTTTTGTATCCGTTTGACACCATCTGTACGAACTAGTTGTGGCCTAAGGGGCTGCTGCCCATGTGCTGAAATTCATGCCACCAGTCTCGGAAGCTGTCTTCTGCCAACTCCACTGTAGGGGAAGAAAGAAGGACTGAGAGAGAGAGGGGGTAGGCGGACAGCCAGTCTGTTCTTCCTGCGG